TATATATATATATATATTTATATTTATATTTATATTTATATATATATTGACTTCATTTTCCTCACTAAACGTGTGATTTTTCGTGAAGGTAGACTTGGAAATCAACAAGTCTCATCGGATCAAATTAAAAAGCTTAATCTATTGCTTTGGACTTAGTCTCATGCGGTGATCATTTCGAATATATCTCTTTTTTTTTCCTTAATTATCAATCGTCACAAGCAGACGTAGTGATGACCACTGTCTCTAATAGTTTAAGTTCCATAAGATAATAAGTTAATAGGTTGGTTATCTCGTTTGATTGGATCGTTATATTAATGGACATATGATTTAATTTAAGCTTAAAACAATTTGCGATTAGTATGTGTGAGTATGAATTGTCAGATTTCACGGTCAAGAAGAAAGTAGAGTCAGGAACTTAAGTGGGAACGCACAAGATCATGGTGACTCCTACTGGCACACCGTTGACGGTGACTTCAACCACCGTTCCGCGGCCGTCCGATGGAACTCGGAAGGTCGCCGTAGACCAGTCAAACAGTGCCGATACAAAACGTGACCCACAAAGTGTACGCGCGCCTGCTGGTTGAGGCGTCGGCGGCGGAGCCACAGGAGGAGGAGGGCCCACGTCTATTGCTTTAAGAGATGGGTGGGGCGAAGAAGGCAAGTAACTTCGACGTGGCTTCCTTTGACCACAAAAGACTTCGCGTTCTGGGTCAAATGTTGACTCCCTGTACTCGCGTAGAAGTCTTGCTTCTGATCTCATCCGTCCGATTTCTGAGGACCAACGGCCGCCACCGTTCAGCAGCCGGCCCCACCACCCCTAGTTTCCACATCACCTGTCCCATTTATTCCACCACTTCGCTCTCGTACACGGCTCATCGAGCCAGCGCCATGGCGGGAGCGTCCGTCCCAATTCGACCATTCTTCCTCCTCCTCCTCCTCCTCCTCGCCTCCATCTCCGCCGTCAGTTCCTCCGACGGCTCAGGCCCCCTCCTCCGAGTGCTCTCTGACCTCGGCCTAACCACCCGGGGGCTCGACCACCCTTGTCGCCACCCTGGCGTCACGTGCGAGGCCGGCGGCGCCGCCGTCCGCGTCTCGCTCCCCTCCCACCGCCTCACTGGCTCCCTCTCCGCCGCAGTCGGTAACCTTCCCTCCCTCCGCCAGCTTGATCTTCCCGACAACGGCCTCGCTGGCTCCCTCCCCCGCGAGCTCGCCCTGTGCCGCGCCCTCCGCGTCCTCGACCTCCGCCGCAACCGCATCTCCGGTTACGTCCCCCGCGAGATCTCCGCACTCCCCGACCTCCGTGTCCTCGACCTTTCCGACAACCGCCTCTCCGGCGACCTCTCCTTCCTCGCTCTCCTCCCTAACCTCGAGCGCCTCTCCCTGTCCAACAACCTCTTCTCTGGCCGCGTTCCCCTGTCCCTCTCTGCCTCCAAGAAGCTTCGCTTCCTCGACCTCTCCGGCAACGTCGGCCTCTTCCATGGCGACCTCCCTTCTCGTCCGGCTTCTCGTCTCGCTCTCCGCCGGAGTCTTATCCCGAAGCGATATGTTTTAGCCGAGACCACCACCCCAGGGAATAACAACTCCACCCATGCCAAGAATTCAACCACCAGCACACCAGCTCTCGCTCCATCCTCATCGTCGAAAAACTCTTCCTCGTCGGGACACCACCGCCACCACAGTCGCAAGCGCCTCGTGAGGAACTGGATCGTGGGGTTCATCACGGGCTCGATCACGGGCATCCTCTCCGGGGCCGTCCTCTCCCTGCTCTTCCGGCTGTTGTTGAACTACATCCGCGGGAGGTACAAGAACCCTGGCGGCCCTTCCATCTTCAGCTCCAAGCACATCAGGAGCGCCGAGGATCTGGCCTTCCTGGAAAAAGACGACGGGCTCGCCGCCCTGGAGATCATCGGCCGGGGCGGGTGCGGCGAGGTCTACAAGGCCCAGCTCCCCGCTGACCCCAAAAAGCCGGACCAGCCGGGCACGGTCATCGCCATCAAGAAGATCATAAAGCACAATCCCAACGGCGGCGAGCCGACCTCCGACGAGGAGAGCCGGCAGCTGGACAAGTGGATGCGCCAGATCCGATCGGAAATCCAGACCGTGGGCCACATCCGCCACCGCAACCTGCTGCCGTTGCTCGCCCACATGATCCGCCCCGACTGCCACTACCTCATCTACGAGTACATGAAGAACGGCAGCCTCGAGGGGGTGCTCCGCCAGGTGCGCGACGGCGAGCGGGAGCTCGACTGGCTGACGAGGTACCGGGTGGCGCTCGGCGTCGCTGCCGGCCTCGAATACCTCCACGTCCACCACAAGCCCCAGATCATCCACCGCGATCTCAAGCCGGCCAACATACTGCTGGACGACGACATGGAGGCGCGGATCGCGGACTTCGGGCTGGCCAAGGAGATGCCGGACGCCAACACCCACATCACCGCCTCCAAGGTGGCAGGGACGCTGGGCTACATCTCGCCGGAGTACGGGCAGACGCTGCGGTTCACGGCCAAGTGCGACATATACAGCTTCGGGGTGATCCTGGCAGTGCTGGTGGTGGGGAGAATGCCGTCCGACAACTTCTTCCAGGACACCGATGAGATCAGCCTGGTGCGGTGGCTGAGGAACGTGATGAACACGGGGAACCCGGTGTCGGTCGCCGTGGATCCCAAACTGCTGGGGAACGGGTACGAGGAGCAGATGCTGCTGGTGCTACGGATCGCCATCTTCTGCACCATGGACGACCCCAAGGTGCGGCCAGACAGCAAGGAGGTGAGGACGATGCTGGCGCAGATCCAACACTAACAGCCAAAGCCGTGCAGTAAATTGCCAGTTATGTTGTTGTGAAGTCTCAGTTGTTTGCATGCATGCAGATCATGAAGCTTTATCCACGTAAATTTTAGAAAGAAACACTATCACCATCTGATATGAGGTGAAAATTCCTGATATTTTCTTTTTGCTGAAAATAAGGAATCAAATATAAATTCCACCAATCACTAAGAAGGATATTAATATATCAGTATATAATTCAATACCAATATGATCAATTAGTAGAGCTACACATATTTATACTAGATTAGCTACATATTATCTCCTATAATTAACTATATTTAGCATCTCGAATCTTATATTTTTAAAAATTATATTAAGATCTCTATATTCATAAAAATAAAATAAATGACCTTATTATTACAATAATTTTTTTATTTTTTTTTTAATTCTATAATATTATATTTTTAATTCTGCATAAGAATCTAAATATTTTATTTTGATAAGTATAAGTATCCTAATATAATTTTTAAAAATATAAAAATCAAGAAGTTAAAGATAACTAATTACGAAGAATAGTTTATAATTAATTCTATCTTCAAGTATTACTAATTTTTTACATGAACAATCTCTTGTGAGCTAACATCCAGTCCATGCTTGACCTAAAATTACTCAACTATATGCTTAAAATACTCGAAGCAATCGATCTCATTTACACTAGCAAAACAAAATTCACCAAGTTTTTCTGAGAGTTGGTATTCATAAAAACTAGTCATATCAAAACTGTGAGTTCACATCAATTTCTGTCTTCTCATCTAAATGATATCAAGAAACTGGGCCATATCAAAACTTACCTTTGATTGTGAAACTGATACTATAGTAGGATATGAAGTAACCTGCCAAATGATCAATCACAATCACAACAACCATCTTAAGTTCTTGGTTGCCACTATGCACAAAGCTTGTGAAAGAAAAAGTGTAATCTATAACCCACCATAAAAGTAGCCAGTCAGTCATTTATAACAGTTTTAATCCTAAATTTAGGAAGTGTAGCTATAATTATATGACCTGGCAAGCCATCTTCAGAGTTTTCAGGTGCTGTTCTCCAAGCTCCTTGCAGGGCACTGAACTCAAATGAGGAAAGAGGACTCTGTATTCTTAAAAAGTCTCTACCTGTGTGTGATGGTACTCTTAGAAAGTCTGAACCTGCATCATTACCTTAAACTGCTGTTAGTTTCTGTATAGAAATAAAATACAGTAGCACATTAAATCCTAACAGGAATAGGCATGTATCCAGTGAGGTTTTGTGATGATTATACTATTTGTTTCGTTCAGTTAAATATGAATTAATTTGATACAGAGGATAAAATTGTTTGACTAATTTACTTCAGTATTGCAGTGTTTGGTACTGGTATTGTTATGTAATCAATTCAGAAAGTTGGTGTCATGTACAAACTAAAACTAAGAAAAAAGATGCTGATGGTGAACATAGAACAATAGTAAAAGCATAAATTTATTGCTCCAAACATATTTGTCATGCTAGGGAACAATATTACCAGGATACCAAAAAAAGATAATGATGGTGACCAACGAAGCGATAGTATAAGCATATATTTATTGCTCCATACATATTAGTCATGCAAGGGAATTCCTATGTTTTCTCCAATCATCAGGATATAATTGTTCCACCTGCGCAAATTGAGATCGACAGCGCTTAAAGATTTGGTCATTTACTTCCCTACTGCTTCTGATGATCTTGAACCACTGGCTACCAGGATTGCAAGTTCCATCTAGGCTTAGGCACTTGCATTGATTTGTCATGATAGTACCATTGTCATCAATGTCCAAGCACACATTGTTGCCATTGTTGGTGAGATTGGATGAAATATGCATCTTGGAGCTGGATATCAGATGCCATTTTGCACTGGAGACCTTGCAACCGAATCCCAGCTTTGCTGGTTTGCTCACACCTTCAGGTTGCAAGCAATATTTGGTGCCTTTTAGCATTAGTTTTTTCTGTCTGGTGTAGCGCCAGGCAGTTGATTCTGCACATTGGCCCAACTGAAGCTGCTTGAGTTGAGAATTTGTCACAATGCAAAGTCCAGTTGACGGATGGAAAATCATGTTATATGGTGAACTTTTAGAAAGACCAGGACCTGCATCATAAAGGAAAGAAGTTGTTGCTGTTAATACAATCAGCACTGATCTAAAGTAGCAGCATTTTGCAAAGATGTTCACAATCATAACCCACTATTAATTCAGTCTTTACTGTTTAAAGTGATTCATGGACCAGGTAAGTGTTTACCTTGAAAGGGAGATTGTATCGCAGAAAGTCTCTGAATAAAGCTGGAATTCCTAGCCTTGCACCAGTCCCAACTCAGAGCTCCATATGTCTCATCTAGTCCTAATTGCCCTTCTCTGATATAATAACTTCCTTGCAATGCCCAAAGAGCCCAATCTATATCCTTTTCAGCCGCAAAACTCAGAAAGCAGCTGAGGAAATGGTTGTCAGCCTCATTTACTCCTCTTTGATCAATCCCAAACTCAGATAGGAACAAGGGCCACCCTTGCTCTAATAAGAACCCTCCTTTTCTAGTGATGTTACCAATCACCATTGCACAAACTTCATTAGGATTTTGACTCCCCCAGTCACCACCATCTGAGAATCCATACCAATGGTACTCAAAAACAAGCTTCTTGGTGAAACTTAAATTCACTTGTTTTTCAGACAGGAAGCTGAGGTCTTTGTCATAATCTAGACCTGATAGTATGACAAGAATGTCCGGGTTTGCTGAATGTACGATCTCTGCACCTCTTTGCATGTACCTAAGTTTTAATAAGGAAGAAGAAAAAGGTTATTTCTTAAACATTATGATTTTTCCAAATAATAGACTTATTAGAATTCTTTACCTGTACCAGAGGCTAATGTTTTGCTTTGGCCCTCTGAGCTCATTCCTCAAGCTCATGCCAACCACACTTGTTGAGCTGTTGAACATTGTTGCCATCATTTCCAGACCTCTCAACCATTCATCAGGGTCAAAATACTTGTCCCCAAAGAAGCCATTATCATCATACTTGCTGCAACACCAGCCTGGCTTACTTATCTGATTGTCCAGTATCACCATGAGGCTGTTGCTGGCTAGATTCGAGACAACAGCCTGTTGCATTTAAAAAAAATTAAATTAAATTTAATGTGGAGGAAAACACTCTAAAAATGATTTTGAGGGAACAACTTTTGTAAAATGTACAGCGTGGTGTGCATGTCTTTAGAGCATGATTAAAGCACAGAGTTCTGTAACATAAACAGCTATAATGTAAGCACAAGATTTAGGTGTTGAACTGTAGACTAGGAAACATAAGGTAGTTTACATGAGCCGTAACTATATAGGCCCTAATTTGTGCACATAAAAGTGTTTAAGTTGCCAAACCTGCCAAATCTAATTGAGTAAAGCTCTCACTGAAAATTTGGAAGTTCCAATAATACCCTAAATGGATTGTTCAGTTTTTGAAACAGCCAAAAAATCCTCATCTTGGTGTAAGGATCTGAAAGTTCAGAATCCTTTTTTTGGTAGCAAAAGATTGACTACAGTTTCAAGCTGATACCATCACAAAACTCCCAATATTTTACAAGATGTGACTGCATTGTTCAGAGGTTCCCATTATCGACCACTAATTACACGCAAAGATACCAGTTGATATGTAGCAATTTCTAATTACATTACCGGAAGAATAATAGGATTAATAGCCATTCAGGAATGGAAATGGTGCTTAAATTCAGATCTTCCCAGCTACCGAGATGAAATGGGGCTAACCAAAGAGGAAAAAATGTTATTCATGAAACTAAGTTGCAGGTTTCTTAAATATTTTTTTCCTCCAAATCAAGAGAGAAAAAGATCAAACTGTCAGGATTTCTCTGAACTGTGTTTAGTAACTTGCATTAATCCTATCAAAGATCAAACAGTGATTAGAAACATTTTGTATGCCTATTTCCGCTTCAAGTCCAAAGTTTTCTAAATTAAGAGAGAGACAGGAGTAATTATGGCAGGGCCAGAAGCATACCTTCTACTTGGAGCAGACATTTCCCATCTAACCTTGAAAAGAATTCTGAGCTCCCTTGTTTCGAGAGCTTATGGGAATAAAGAAGGATACTTTCTTGAAAGAAATATAAATCTAGCATTAATGCTAACCTATCAAAACTAATCTTGGGGAAAACCAGCATCAAACACGCAACAGGTGGCTCAATTATTGAGGGAAGCGCATGAATCTAACCAAAGATAAGTTTGGCTGACCTGGAAGGCCTGGACAAGGGTGAGGTCAAGCAGGCCGGGGTTGTTGACGCGGACGCCGGCGGCCGACTCCGCGAGGCCGAGCCGCTCCAGCGACTGCCGGACGGTGACCGACCCGAACGAGGAGTCGGTGAGCAGGTAGAGAGGCCAGGTGAGCCTGACACAGTTGAACCCCATAGCGGCCACGCTCTTGGAGATGGCGTCCAGGGGCTGCTTGCTCAGCCCCTCGGCCACTGCCGGCTCGAGGTGGGCCGCCCAGTTCACGCACGCCAGCTTCACCCGCCGTCCCTCACCGTCGACGACCCATCTCGAGCTCGTCGAAAGGGGGAGGGCGATTGGCGCGGGCGATGCAGTGGTGGCGAAGAGGAAGAGGAGAAAGAGTCCGGAGGGAGTCATGGTGATTGTGGAGCGTGTGATCGCCATTTTGCTCGAGTTCTTGGATCATCACATCGAGGAAGAGATTGGGTGGAAGCAACTTCACAAGTTGATTCTAAGGAATGGATGACATCGACATTTCAGCGGGAGTAGGACCGGTTTCCATAGCCAATAATAAATCAAAGAGCTTAGTATATATATATATATATATATATATATATATATATATATATATATATATATATATATATATATATATATATATATATATAT